TTTATGTAACCTACTAAGTATAAAAAGCATTTATATTCCTTTGTATTAATTACAGAACCTATTATTTAATTTTACCATCACGGTCTTGGTAAAAATTGAAAAACTTCATTATAAATTCTTAAATGTGGCATGATTATATGGCAGAGAGCACTGATTGACCGAACATAGAGGAATATTTCGATAAATATAAATAAATGTAAGTTTTAACTGTCAGCTTAAGGATCTTGATCTACTTCCTAACATAAATATAATTTCTTGAAATATTATAACAGGATTTTAAGCAGCTGCTGTAAAAGACTTAGTTGAGCAGCCTCTTTAAAATACATGAAGAAATATTTAATAATATTTTGGCAATAATTCATTTTAAAATCCCTCAACTAAACACCCAATTTTATTGAAAAACTTTCTGATGCGGCCCAAAGAAGCCGTAGCACGCTTGAAATTCAAAACATATTCATGAAAGTGAAATGTAAAGCCAACATTCTTATTCGAAACTCATAAATTAGTGAGTTATTCAAATTAGCTGACAATTGTTGCTGCCAAAGAAAGGCGAACAGCGAACAAAAAGCCATAAGCAGCAACAAAAAGCGTTGAGAAAGCAGTCAAAAAACTGTTCAATTTACGGCGTAAAATGATGGCGTGCGTGTGTGCGAGTGTGCTGTGCAAATCTTTACTCACACGCGCAAATTGCCACACATAATTATGTAAACGAGTTTTGAAGAGACGAGGGGCAAAGAGGGTAAAGGGTAGCGGGCGAACGAGCACATTTTAATTACCAGGAAAATGTAAATTAACCGAACCACCTAAGACAACAGAACAGACAACTGGGAAAACGCACAGCAGCAGCAGCAGCATCCCACCACCAGCAAAACAAAGTCATGAAGCTCAAACTGTATGTATGCATATCTATATGTTCTGTTTATGTGTGTGTGTGTGTGTGCGTTTGCGTAAGCCTGCACATCTGAAAAGTATGCTACAGTAAAGTTTGAACGCGCTGGCTGCTCCTCGATGATAACTTTTCCAGTTGCCAGTTGGCACAAAATGACACAAACGTTATGATAACAAACATGAAAATGGTAGTTGGGGTGCGGGAAAGAGATACCTCGATATACCCTGCAACTAAAATATATGTTAGCGAAGATATGAACTTAAACAAAATAGTAATCTTAAAATAATAGTAATCTTAAAATAAAATAAAGTCTCAAAAAAACGAACTTTCACTAATATTAACTTTGACCCCATTTTTCCATGCTCATTTCAGATAAATATTCAGAAATATCATTAAAAGGAATTTGACGCTGATTGGACGATAAGCATAAGATTGTATGCAACCGATTCGCGCTTATTTTCCACAGTTGCGGGTGGAATTTCCAAAAACACTTAAATAGTGGGGGAATACTTTTCAGTTGAATTTTTATAAAGAGTTTGAATCATAAACTTCGCCCAAACGGAGTGGTTTTTCGCGAATTTTTCGCAACTACTTGTGGAAATAGAGATAAAAAACAAAGTAGGTATATGCATATATGTATACAGAAAGAAAGGTATGCATATACCCTTTTAAGTTTGTATCCCGCAAGTAGAATAAATATGAAATTTAAAGTCTATTAAACGATGGATAGGCACGAGCTGCTTCCGGCGCGTCAGCTAAGCAGCTTTATAACGCCGCCTGCTTTCTGTCAGCGACTGTGATAATTACACCACACACTCACACACTCACACACCTACGCACTGCCTGATAATGACAGCTGCTGATGTGGGCATATGTATGCCAGTACATATATTTATGCACACATGATGAAAAGTTGGGTCCAACAACGGACAGAGATTGGGGTTTTGTTGATAGGGGGCTGCCTTTTTACGGCCCATTTGAACGTTTACAGTTTTCAATGCCTGACACTTTCCGGCTTTTGATTAATTTTAATTGTTTGACATTTAATTAATTCGTGCAGAGAGAAAGATTATCACAGCACTAACTAATTACATAATCGTTAGCTAAATAATATACAAGCCCCACCAAATCCATACCGAGCTTCTCTTTTAAGCAAACCCTTGTGTTTGCACCAGCAATTTAAGCTTTCACATGTTGTTTTAAGCGTCGAAGGATTAATCTCTACCCTGCACAAAAAAAAAAAAACAAACGCGCGCAGCTCAGTGCGAGCAACTACTGAATAATTTAATTCAATTAAAAGCCAGCGGCGATAAACAAGTTAAAATGCTTCACATGCGAGTGCTCGACTAGTCAATACCTTGCATTGAGGTTCTGGTACAAATATGCACGCTTATATTTATATTATCATTAAAAAAGTATCGCCAGGAAGACAGAGAGGCGATACTTTAGAAGTCAGTCAGTTCTGAAAGGCTCTTCACCTTCCAATCGGAGACTGTGCCAACAGTTCAGCAAAAAGAGTTACGTAAGGTTTAACTTTGTATAAGTATGTATGCAAATGTAAAAATGTAAAATGTATGCAGCTTAATTCTCACTTCAATTGAATATACATAATATTGGTGTGGATCAAAAATATATAAAGAAGCTCTCTCTCTAGGTCGTAAGTGTTTTCTCCTCCATGTCACAAATATCTGCACTTTCAAGTCATTTGGTCACATTAGGGTATTTTGAAATAAAAAAAAACCATTAAGAATCGTAGAACCATTTAAGCAATTAAATAATTGAAATGTAAACGATAAAAGTCATTAAATCAATTTAGCAATTCTGCAGTAGAAGCCACACCAACACCAAATAAAATCCACAAAAAAAATGGTAGTTTACCTTTTAACTGGGTAGAAATTGCAAAAATATGCAAAATACTTGAAAGTGCACTAACTTTAACGACAGTGAAGAGCAGGAGTTCCAACTGGTATAAAAGATGTGCACAAAGAACTCGTTACGGTGCAATTAACTGCCAAAAGAAAAAGTGCTGGCATATCAAATAAGCGAAATAAACAAATTAGCATTCAAGCGGCAACTTGTGAGCTAACTAAGAAAACAACAACAAATAAAAAATAACTAAATAAATAAAAGAATAAAATCAATAATTGTTTCGAATGGGAGTTGAATAAACTACGAAGGTCTAAACAAAGCGTAATCAAGGGCCATATTATAAAGTCAGCAACACCTAAGGATGCCCACAACAGCGAACACTTTGCCTAATGTCACAGGCCAAATTGGTTGGCACTCAAAAGCAGCTGCACGAACATCCTGTGCATCCTGTGGAAGCTAAACAACATAACAATAACCATTCTCGCCTGACAGTCCCTGCTGTTCGTCCACTTTAACCCCACGAACCAACGCATAGACAATTCCCAACACACCCACACACACACACACAGATAGAGAGAGTATTGTGTGCCACTGCGTTGCCCATTCGAGTGTGTAAAGAGCAAAGGCAACGCCAGAAGCGGCACCTAAAGTTTGTTCAACTGTCAACTTTGCAATATAAAAGAATTCGGTGCGGAGTTGGTTATTTGTATATTTATAGGAGTCTACGTATATCCTGGTTGTAAGTGTGTCTGATTCGCTCATGTGACAGGCAGCGTAGGGATATCAAGAATGGCAACAATAAAACAGAGTGTATTTAAATTTTCTATCAATGACCAAGAGATGGACTTCTTAACGAGATATTTACATGTATTCTTCTTCAAGAAATCGTCATTAGGTTGAGAATTTTTGCCTGTTTCAATAGATATATATATATCTAAAAACTTGCACTCAAGACTAAGTTCAGATTTCCTTTAAGTAATTAAACTAATATTTCTACAATATATTTAAATACAATTTTAAAGCCTCGAAACTTATGTTTCTTAAATATTTTCCATTCTGTTAAATCAATATTTTTTAATTATTTATTTTATATTTAACTATTTAAGTGATTTTTGTTTAACATTTAAAGGAAGTTCAAATGAAATATTCTTTTTTAAAAAGAAGATTTAATTTTAGGGTATCTCATTAGCGGCTTTTTTTTCGTTAGTTTGGCTTTCTTATTACCACGTATCCAGGCAATACACAGGCACAAAAATCAATAGATAACAGGTGGCACAGGAGTCACAGGAGTCACAGGAAGTCTACGACTCCTGTTACTGAAATCGTCAACGGCAAAAAGCAACGAGAGTAACAACAACAACAACAACAACAACAACAACAACAACAGCACCAATAATGCCAACGGAAATAAAATTGTTATAAAAACAACATAAAAATATTCAATATTTTTGCATTTTATGTGTATGTGCACATGTATAAGTCTATATATGTATATTTATATATAAGCATGGGGCCTGGCTTGTGTGTTGACATTAAGTAAAAAGCGCCATTAGCTATAAAAATACTTAATAAGGAAATATGCGCAGTGCTTTGGGGTATTTACGTAAGCAAACGACTGAGAAAAACAACTAAAGAAACTGTCGCAAAAAGAAGCAGGGTCAGTGGCAGCAGGCGGCAGACAGGCAATCGTTAACGGTTCATACATTTGCACCTGCCACAGCAGTCGCAGCGTTGCGCATACACGTGCGTATACGTAATATTTGCTTTCAGAGAATTTTAACAATTTGTTCGAGTGTTTTTTTTTGGCCAATCCGCAAACTGTCAAATAAACTAGTAATTAACTACAGAGATTTTACGCTAACAACTCAAACAATTTAAATTGTATATAATTAAACTAAACCCTCATGTAACAGCAACATTATTATTTAATAAGTTCTATATTCCCTTAATTATCACCTAGAGTAGAAATTTCTTAAACATTTAAAATTTCAAAACAAAACTCTATTATTTAAGTGCGATAAAGAAAATCACAGAGAAGTAAATGATAATGTTGATTTGCCTGCTGCTAACGACCGATAAAATTTATGTATATATATTGACTGTGTTAGATATTTCGCAACAGAAAACGCTGCTAAGGTTAATAATAAGAAGTTTAATTATAAAATGTCTTACCCAGGAGAGCGGCGAATAAAAGGGATATCTCTTTGCCTGTACCTGAAGCCGCCGGAATACTGAATCAACAAACTTGTCAATTTGCATTTGATGTTCGCATTAGGTTTACTTAGGACCAATCCAGATGCCGGCCGCATTGTCTTTTAGCCAAGCCAAATTGGCAGTCGGTAGCTAGTACTTCACTTGGCTCCGTCTGAATAGCTGCATTTGCCTCACGTCGAGGACAATTACTTAGGCGTCAATGGGGATTATCAGTAAAAATGTGCGGGCGCAGGATGAATTGCCGCAGACCAGGCACATGGAGGCGAGTGTGAGTGTGAGGGTGAGGGTGTTGTATACATAAATGCATGGCTGAAATGCCACGAAACTAATTTAAATATTAAATAAATGTATTTATGCAAATGCGCCGTCTGACGCTCTGAGCATACAAAATTGCTCAATTGCCTTCAATTGCGCACACTTAGCGCCAGTCCGCAGTGAAACGCAGTGAAACATCTACGGATCTGCGGGTAGCAGTAGTGGGCACTCTCTATGCCACATCTATTTGGTGGCTCTGCGCTCCCCAGTGGCACAAACAGTTCCAATTAAACTTTTCGCGTTGCTTTTAATAACTTCAAATTGTTAAAGGCCTTCGAATTGAATTTCAAGCGCTTTGCTGTTGATGTAGGCTCCAATTCAAATGCTGCAGATGCTTCGCCTGGCCCGGCACTATATGTTCTATAAGCAGTGCAGAGCTTTCTGGGCACAGATTCTCCAATGAAATTCATTTGACTTGGCACTCACGGCATTGTGTGGTGAGAATGCGCAGACTGGTCCAGAGAATCTGTGGCATGTGGCAGTGCGATAAATTACACTGAGAAAAAGCATGTTGTAGTTAGACCTGTAAGTAAAATAATCCAAATTATTATTTTAAATAAATCTCACAACTTAGCACTGACTTACAGAACATTATATTGATTTTTTTTTAAAACTTTTTGTTATTGAAAATTGTAAGCCAATTTGGGGATTTTGAGTAAAAAATTCCTAAGCACAATGAAATATTGCTTATATTGGGCTACAACTGAGATTGTATATCGTAGTTTTTAATCAAAAGATATAAAATGTATAAAAATGTAGTAGGATAAATACAGATTATAGCATGTATCGAAATTATTTATTATAATTAAATTAAAGCCATAAATTCCTTTTAATTTAGCTTCAACCAAACCTAATGGCGGTTAAGTTCCACAAATAACAATTAAACCTTAACGGAGATTAAATCTATTTTTTTCAAACAGAACACAGTTTTTTAAACATTTATAAATTGTTTGTCAAAAATGCAAATTTTTAAAAACGTGTCGAATGAATAACTAATGTGGAACCTTAGGGCTAGGCATTGGATCAAACCGAAATACTGAAATATTTATTTGATTTGCACTTTAAATTGATTGAGTTTTAGACTCTGTTTAGTATGTCTTAAATTTAGGTCAAGATTATAATCCAAACTAGAATAAACGTCATGGACAGAATAAAAGGTGGATTAGTAATTAGTCAATTAGCTATAATCCAACTGAACATATTTGCAGGGTATTGGTTGAATATTAAATATTAAACGTTCAACTTGGCCATTTCAACTGTAATTAACTAAGATCAACATTTGAACTCTAATTTTGCATATCAATTGCAATCCATTTTGCTGCAGGCCAACATAAACTAAGCATCCTTTGAGCATCTTTTCTACCCATAATGCCACTCGCATGAGTAGAGACGCGGCAATTACTTAACTAATCAAAACGAAACACATTTAGCTGTGGCACAAACGATGCAGTAATTGCCACATCTGCCACTGGAGGGCAATGCCAGTTGCCACATCATCAGGAGCGTAGAGCGAACAGCAGGACATGCAGTCAGCTCGGAAAGAAACCTGTCATAATGAGAGCAAGCAAATTTCATAGCTGACCAATTCACAGAGAGTAGCCCGAGCCAGAGACAGAGTCTGGCAAAGTCCAACAAATAATCAAGTGCCTGAGCGTAGCATAGACGACCACATAGTCGGGCGACTTTAGTGCAACTTATAAAACCATTAAAAATGACAGCAATTGCATTAGAGCCAACAGTTTAGAGCGCACGTGTGTTGGCGATGAAGCATCCTGTGGCCATTGTTGCATCCACTCACACACACATACACACACACACACATATACACACAGGCAGACAACCGCAAGCTAAGCACCTGGCCGCGTGCCATATATATGTTTATATATATGTTTATATATATATATATATATGTATATGTACTCATGCATCTGTATCTGTGTGTAACTGTAACATGATGCGCCTTGTTATCCCAGGCATTAAACTGTTTGAGCACGCCCATACACCCATACACACACACACACACACACACACACACACAAAAGCATAGCCTGAAGCAATGAGCCAGCCTATTCAGTAGATAACAATGACAAGAACGTCAACAGGGGATCGGATACTTAAATAAACACAACCATTAGCTGCCATAGACGACGCACAAATAGCTAAGCCAAGTGCAAGGTTTAATATTTTATAGTCCATTAGCTGTCGGAAAATTCTTAACCCCTTTAAGAGCCACTTCAATAAAGATATAAGTTCTTCAGCTAAGCGAAAATATCCCGTCTAGCGTTCTAGTATTTATTCGTGCACTCCTAAATCAAATTAAAAAGCATATGCCACAAATCTGCAGGTTTGCCATCGTTTAAATCGAATCCAGAATATATTGAAATTGAATTGTGACAAACTGGAAAAAAGTATGTACCTTAAAGTTGGAAGCAGCCGACTGTGAAATACTCTTATACAGAGTTTAAAAAAGATGGAGGCAATTATATTATTCCTTTGAATACATTTGGTAGACATACATTCAAATGTAATAAAGCTTTTCCTTTTAAATGAACATACCCCCATTGTGCCGAGAAGGCGACAAGTGTGGCTAAAATCAAACGCTAATAGTAAAGAAACCCAAGAGTATACTTTTCCTTACATTGGGAGGTGAGGTACGAAAATGAAATAAATTTATTATCAGAGTTAGTAAAGTATAATACACTTATGCGTTGGCAATGCGAATACATCCGTACATCTGCTGTGAAATATTTGTAATATAAATAACTGCAGAAGGCAACTCAACTTGCGGAATGGCTCTAACAGCTCGCATATTAACTGGAAAGTGCCCGATTTCAGCTTCAGAGAACTGCTGCTCGGTCGTTTGACAAGAGGTGTGTTCACAGTTGAAAATTGTTCGGGCATGAAATATTTTATTACCCCTATAAATCTTATTTATGTATGTTGCCAAAAAGAGAAAAAAAGAATAACTAACAGGAGAACTTTCTTGAGGCGCCTTGGCTTAGATACCCTAAAAGAAATATGCGTTAATTGCACACTTATTTAAACTTATTTCTGCCTAATATTATATTCATTCGACTGTATCTTTACTGCAGCTTATCTATGTGTTATTTGCAGCTTTATTAAAAATGAAAATATTAAGTAATAATAAAATATGTAATTTTCTGAATTATGTTATATTTAATTTATATTTTTATGAGAGGTTGGCGTTTTTTTTTGTGAACAAAAGCAAAATTCCGTTAAACTGAAAAGGCAACATTACAAAGCGCAGAGTCGAAATCCTAACGCCCCTTAAAAAGATATTTAGCCTGACGTCAAAAGGGGTAAGAGATGTCAAGAGGTGCCGAGTTATTGGCACAATGACTTAGTTTGTGTTTTTATTGGCAAAAATCAAACCAAGAAATTCGATTTAACCTAATCGAATCTTTGGGGCCGTGGAGCGTAATTTAATTCAAGCAGCTAGACACTTTTGTCAATATGTCGCCTCTTCCAGACAAGCACAAGAATAACAACAACAACAAAAACCAAAAAAAAATAAATAAAAATACAAGAAAACAAGAATAAGAACGGGAGCAAAGCCAAAGCCAAAGTAACGACAAACGACGGCAAAAGAGAAAACAATGCTAAATTGAAAGGTAAATGTGAAAATCGTGTTTTAAATGTTTGGATGTCAGGCGCAGCCAACCCAGGGACAAACAGCTGAAATCTGAAGGCTGAGCAACGCTCTCAACTGGGGCCCGAGGACTATAATACGGGCAAGTGAAGAGGGGGCCTGGGACGGGAGGGGGAGCTTTTAAGACTAGCAACTGGCTGGCACTTTGGCATTTATCAAGTCTATGCAGCTGACAACTATTAAAATTTTGTTGGCCCAGCTAATTGAAATGTTTGCGCGGGCAACGTGGCGAATGCGCAATCGGAAAATGTCACGGCTGCCAAAAGAGCGAGAGTAAGAGAGCGCGCGATTTCTTCAGCCAGTCCTTTATGCACATATGTGCACAACTTATTAACCGCATTTCAGTGCATGGCTGAAAAGTCATATATGAGCAGAAAGAGGCGGGGAGTCGAATATTAAATACTCTTTAACAAATAATGTAAGCAATAATTAAATGAATAATAATTAGAAATATAATAATAATAATAAAAATACTAGTAATAATAATTATGCTTATAAATAATAATAAAGAAGTATTCAAACGATTCAATAAATTAATTGGACTTTAGTTATTTATACCTTTTGCTGGCGTTTTTTTGTGTTTATTCATAAATCAATTACCCATCCTCAGCTGCCTTTCTGAACTCATGCGCTAGATTAACTCTGCATCGCTGCGGTAGTTATTTAACCAAATCTGTATTTGAATTCTATTCTATGCTTTTTAAAGCCTTTTCTCTTCACTGTTGACTCTGCTATCAAAGCCAATGTTTGGGGCTGTTGCAAATGTTACACAAATTTGGTGCTCATGAGTGTGAAAATGTGTTTAAATGCAAATTTCCCCCATGCAACACACCCGTCTCCTGCTCCACCCTTAGTGCCCCTGCACACCCGTTGCGGTACGGCACACGCCCATAAATTATGCATGGCTTTGGGACCTGGGTGTCATCATCGGCATCGTCATCATTGTTCGGCTTGTGGCTGACCGTCGCTCTTTATCTTTGTTTGGGTAGAAGAGGAGGCAGGTGCTGTGGAATGCTTTGTTGATGCTGGCTGCTGCTGGCGAAGTGTTTGTTATTGTTTTTCTAATAGCTGAAAGCGTTGACTTTGCTTATGTTGGGGCCCTGCAATTATAATATGCAGCACACACAAACGGATAAAAACGAGATGCCAAGCATTGTTGCAACTGCGACAGCAACTACGGATGCGACAGCTGTCACGACGTGCATTTCCATGTCAAAACATGACACAGCCCTTAGCGGAAAGGTAGACCAAACGAAAAATAGGGACAAACATGGAAATTCATTCGAAATTTCGCTCGCCGCGTGTAAACATATAATTCGATTAATATATGCATTTGTAGTAACCACTCCTTTAATCATTATTAACTAACCTGTAATTTTATTTGATATATTAATAATGATTCACATTATGTTTGTTAAAAACTGACAATAAACAATTCTCTTGAGCAAAGAAATTAACCTTTGAAAATTAATTTTACTGTTAAATCTCATTTAAAGTTGGACTAATTCGATTCCAGTGTTGAACTTACTAGAATAGTATTTATTTTACAACTGTACCTCGACTACTAATACCGCAAGACCTTCCAGACGATTTCTTATTCAAAATTATGTAAATAGAGCTGTCATGGACCCTGTCAGAACCTCAACCGCAACCACTGTGCTCGGCCCTGCTCTGCACCCGATTGTATGCAATGATGCCGACGACAGCGCATTTGCCATGCGACAATTAGCGTGATTTTTAGCGGGCACAGGATGCGCCAGAAAAACACGAAAGATTTAAATCGCCAGGAAGTCGAAGACCAAATACTCTTTTACGTTCCATCATGTTTATGACAGCAAAAGTCGATCACATAATTGCAAAGAGAAATCGAACAAATGTACCTGATTATGGCATTCATATTTTTTTAAAATAGGGCTGTACCATACCCAGACATTAAAAAAACAAAACTGATAAATTAATAATCTGAACTTTTTCGATATTAGATAACTTGCCCCGTTTCCAAATAATCGATAGAAATCGATATCGAAATCCTGTTTTTGAGCAATTTTGGTAAATATAATGAGTCACCAAACTTGACATGTAGCTTCTAGAATAGTATATATATATCAAGTATGTGTCATTTTATACCTATCGCCACCTCCCCGCTAGCACCGCAAAGCTATAAATCAAGTTAATTATCCAACTTGTATTGCCCATCAATTTAAGCCACAATTTGTATGCAATTAAATTTTTGAGAGTACACAAATATTCTTTATTCTATTCTACAATAATATGTACTGTCGAAAATTTCATTAAGATCGGCTAAGAAACACAAAAGTTACGTGCGCACGTGTTAGCAGCATAGCTGCTGCGCAAGTTCCAAGAATTTCATGTACACACACACATTCATTCAGAAGACGCTTCTTTGAATTCTTTCAACAGCATTGCAATTGCAATTGTATTGTTTTCTGTTCTGCTATTTATTTTTTTTAATTTATCTTTATTACTACGAAAGCAAACGAGCGCGTAGCGCGAGCTGCATTTCGGGTGGGAATAAGAGGGTTCAGGCTATCCCTTTATCGGGAGCTCCCGACTAGAACCTCTTTCTTGTTTCTTTAGGAATCAAATTATTTAGATTTGAAGGCGTAACATATTACATGACAAGATGAAAGTACTCAATGTGAGGGCAACATTGAAACCTCAACGACAAAGTCAACGTCACTGCCAGCTGGTTTGCCATTTGTATGCGCTGCACAAAAAATGCACGAATTCAATTTGTCTCGAGGGCGGCAGCTCGAGACGCGGCACAAGTAGAGCCAAACAGAACTGCACCGAAAAATGGTGGGGAATCTCATCCGGAACTGATGGCCACCTTTGACATGCTTCGATAGAAGCTCAACAGATCACGTAGAATGCGAATGAGGCCACATCGTGTGCAGCATCCAGTAGATGACACCCGACATTGTTGTTACCTTATCCAGTTATCAGTTGCTGCTGTCGGAGTTGTTGTTGTTGTTGTTGTTGTACTTGCAACTGTTTCTGTCAAACTGTCTTGAGTCGGAAAATGGGCATATTTCAGGCAAAGGTACAATTTTTCATGGCGAAAGTTTTATGCGCACGATTCGACAAGTCAAGTATCTCTCTCTGTCTCTATCTCTTAATACCCTGCATTTTACAGGCCAACACTATTTATTTAAGGGAGAAGGTGGCCAAACAACACATTTTAATAAAGTTCAATTTACAGCTTGTTTATCTTAATCGAGAACAATTAAAATTATGCATCACAATAATTTTTGTTTAAAATTTTAAAGTTCGTCTTTGATTTGTTAAATTTCAGCATGCACATAGGGTAGCTAAATGTAAAGCATGCCCTGCTTAATTCTATTATAAACTGCAGAATGTAAGATTTACTAAAATTCGAAAAAGCTTACCAAAAACTGAAAGGAAACTATGGAACAAAAATCAGGATGATGAGGATTATATTTTTTATTTGAAAGTTAGGGAGTGAAGAGATGTAATATTCTGACAAACATAAATATAAATAATAAAAAGTTTAAGAAGTCATCAAATTAGATTGGTACAAATTTAAAATCATATTCTTTTAAAATGACATGCTATAAAACGAAAATAAATCATTTTTTTATTCAATTGGATTGTGGCCTTATCATCATTTGCACAAATCTCAGCGGATTAGTATGCCATTGTCTCCATTCAATGCCACGATTCTGATTCTCAACAAACTTGTTAACATGTTGCCCATTTAGGTTACTACAAATTTAAGAAAATTCGCAGATTGCTCAATAAATATTTATAGAATTTCCCTAAACACTTACCACATATAACATTCATAATACCACCAACCCGATTTGAAAGAAGATGCACAGTTTCCTTTCGAATTATCATTATCACGGTCTGGTGTTGAAAATTTCATATTTAAATGATAAATTAAGGAATCACCAGCATTTCCAGAATAAGTTCCAAGTTTATTTATCTTGTACGACTCATTCTCGCTGCCAATTAGGAAGTGACTATATTTGGCATAGCGTGTGTTATTCTCAAAATCCTCAAGGTATACATATAGTTCGTAGGGCTGTGATACTGTCATATGGTGTAACTTCTCTAGTCCTATGAAGAAACTTCCATGTAAAGCACCGAAACCGGCCTTGTATTGGTCCCAGTCGCGATTGAAATCCACGCTTCCATCCACGCGACGCTGAATGACAGTCCATCCGTTGTCGGCCAATTTCGAGTCACAGGGCACAAGGAAGGCCTCTAAGTTGGGCACCTTAATCGTATAGATATCTGTCAATTTTCCCAGGCAGCTTGAGGGCATAGTGTTCGCTTTAATTAGGTTTTCAAGTGTGAGTTGCTCTTGGATTGCAATAACTTTATTTCGCTATCTTTCTTATCAATTTGAGAATCTTTCGATTTTATTTCAGATTCCATTTTAGTTATTTTGGGCGAGTTGCTTCTTAATTGTAAGCAGAAAATCATTCTGAATTAAAATGGTTTCATTAGATGCGGCAGTCAAGTAGTCTTTTTGTCTGATAACCTCCTTTAAATTTGCGATAATTGCATCTTGATCATCTATTTTCTTCTGTAACTCTGAGAATTGTTCCTCCTTTTCTCTTATTGAGGCGGCATGACTTAGAAACGGCTTAACCATTTTATAGCAGTCAAGTTCATACTGCAAATCGTTTTCCTTAGAGTCCTTTGACGACTGTAGAGAACACTATATTAAGTTATTTTATTCTTTACACTTTATATAAGGCATATAACCAGCCATTTGTGGAATGTTCATTTGATTGCACTAAACATGCCATAACAAACACTGCCAATAAGGTATACATGAGGTGTATTTTCATTTTTTTAATCCGAGATTGCCAACCGTTTCACAGCTATAAATCTGTAAGACTGATTGATAGCTGATGGCGCTTCAATCTACCATGCCTCTGATTCAGCGCTATATATATATATATATATATATATATATATATATATTATTTATATTATACATGTATTCGCATACATAGCTGAATAAATGCGCTTAATCAGAGACATGGTAGATTGATGAGCCATCAGTTAGCAACATATATATAGGTATTCGCATACATAGCTGAATATTTATATATATATAAGAGTGAAGCTTATATGAATGTATGTATATATATATATATATGTAAATATATATATATATATATATATGTATACATACATATAAGCTTAACTTGCTTCGCCGCTCTGTTATCAGCTTTTGATTATTTATATTTATAAATATATGCTAATTGTAATCGCATACAATTTTTTCCCAAACATTGCCATTTCCATTCTCCCATTTAATACTGACAATTTTTTTTAGATTATAAAAGCTTTTTACGAATTCCCGTATTTACTGTAACACGCACAATCTTGAACAATAACATGCTGCATCTGCATATTCTTTGCACATTTCATTTAATATTTTTTTTCTCTAAAGCTAATCAAGAACTCTAATTATTTGTGGGTAACTGCACGTCGAGCATAGGCATCTAACACATTCTGACATGTCTTGCGGTCTTTGCGTGCGGTTACAAAAAGTGCCGGAACCGGAAGTTAACAGGCGCTCCGTGTATTTGATTGTGTCTGTGTGTGTGTACGGGAATGCCGTGCGCGCAACTCTGTTCTGTCTCTGTGCCCATTGAGTGTAATGAGTGTGAAAAGTTCATTAAAATTGCACGTGCAAAATTACGTACACGTACAATACACACACACATACATGCATACGTGCACTTTTAAGTGCATGACTTGGTTGTTATAATCCCGAGCAAAACTCTTTTCGGATTCGGTTTGAGTTTGGTAGCACGAAAGCGCAAATTATTTTTCGCAGTCAGTTGAAGTTGTGTACACAGTTAATGGCTGACGGCATTATAGTCATTATTTTCTCATTAGCTTATGTATTATTAAATTGCATTACATTCTGTAGTATATTGCACGTGTCATCTATAATTCATGTGGTTATTTTGCTACGTGTTCCTGGAAAAGCGCACTTCACGAGCTGCTCAGATACAGTTTTAAAAAAGTAATTGATGAAAGATTACTTTGAAAACAAATTTCAATTTATTTTTTACACAATATATCTTTTAGAATCAATGCAAAATATTCAAAAAAATTTTTGTAAATCTTTTAAAAATAAAGTCTAAAATTTGTAAACAAACTAATCTATTTTTACCTAATCGTTCACCGAATGTATTTTGTTCCTATCGCTAGAGTTTGCTTTTAATCGTTTGATTTCTTGTTCTTAGTTATTCTTCAAATATATTTTAAATATTTATTAATATTACAAGTAAGTGGTTCTAGTCGGGAGATCCCGACTAGGGGATACCCTGAACCCTCTTCTTCCGACAGGCGATAGCTATAAAATGAAAGATACTTGATATATTATGTATGTTTACTATTCTAGAAGCTACATGTGAAGTTTGGTGACTCTAGCTCATATTATTTGCCGAAATTGCTCCAAAAACAGGATTCCGATATCGATATTTATCGATTACTTGGAAACGGGGCAAGTTATCGAATATCGGAAACAAACTCGATCTGCGCGGGCACTAGGAGGACCTACAGCTGAAGTCTGCAGCTCTTATAGGTTCCGAGATCCCTGCGACTCGAGTCGATCGACTCGGCTGTTGATTCTGATCAAGAATATATATACTTTATGGGGTCGGTGATGCTTCCTTGTGCCTATTACATACATTTGCACAAATACATAATGCAGAAATGATACATTGTGCATCTATCTATTGAGTGTGGATTCCGTCGAGTGTGGATTCTAAACATGAGCACTTTCGCTAACGAGATATGTAAGTCTTAACATTGAAAATGATACAATCGAAATTATATTAATAATTTTCTATTTTTAATTTAAGACTATTAAACTAGTTTATTTAATAACGCTCAAAAGAGAGACACCGGGTGTATTTCCCTGGCAACCCGTTTAAAATCGCCGCGCACAATTTTGATTGATTTTTCTATGCGACTGATTTCAATTACACACAATCCCTATATTTCATGCAAGCCTAACAGTTTCCCGATCCCGTCGCACAAACTGTCGTGTACATAGCTCGAACTGTAGCAATTATGGTAATAAATACGTTAACATTCCCAATTCAACGTGCTGCCTTGCTGCACGTCGCATTCAATAACAAAAGTCACGCGGTGCCACCTTACCGAACCCCAACTGGATTCCCCATCGCTCTGGTCATCAGGCGGGCAACTTGTTGCTTTGCAAATCAACTGGGATTTTCGGTTCACTGGAGAAAATGCCAATAAAAATGGGCAAAAGGAAAAAAATGGAGGTGACATCTACTAAACTGTCATTGACACTTACAAATTGAATTCTCGATAGAAATCGCCTTTTAAAGCGTACATCCCCCTCTGCTGCACACACATACACAATTATTAGAGCCGTGCACATGCCAACCCTGAAAATGATAATGTTTGATTGGCAGTAAACATCGTTTTAAAGGAGATCTTTGATAAATAATGCGGCATGTAAATAACAACAAATCAATTTTTAAATAGACAGCCTGGCAGCCAGACAGCCATTGGCCAGAAGCAAACCCAATGTCAAGCAGCGACAACAATGAACCCTATTCAAATGTCAGTTACACATTCTATATGGGTGGGTGTTAGTGTGAACTTGCTGTCGTAGACCTAAAGCTGTCAGTTAGCCAAGCCTATTGGCCCCATTCCTTAAATACAAGCTCAGAGTTTGAGTCAGGTAACAGATAGCATGGCCAGATAATTGTTGGCATCTCGGAATTGGCTTCTGCTTGGACGGATCCTTAAATTGATTAATTGCGGTTAATGTTATGTTAATTTGTTGGCACTTTACGTCTGTCTACAGCTTGCCATTAGGCCAATTTGTGGAGTGTGTTTGGTCTTCTAAATAATATCTAAGTGTAAGGTCTGCGCCTCCGTATCAGGCATCAGGATTTGGCATTTAAAAATTAAAGTAATGCCAAGCTGACTTAACTATTTAACCCCATAGCAATACAAAGCATGATTATATTTGCATTTGCATAAAACTCACTCTATGGAAATTGGGAGAAATGTAGAGAAATATGTTGAGTATTGCCATTAGCTACACCTCGGAGCAATAAGCTAATGCATTCCAAATTAATTTGGGTAAATACATTTATTTAACCCCTTTAAAGCCCAGCCACAACAAGCAATTCGGACTTTTAAGAGTTTTATAAGGTTGTTACAAAAGTACAAGTACATTGAGTAAGGCACCTCCAAGAGGCCAGATGGGACAACAATATCACATATATGATATATAAAGTTCGTGCCTAAAAAACATTTCATTAGACACCAATATGCCAAATTAACACTTCAACACTTTCTTTTTCTTAAGATTCCCCAAATGTATAGATATTTTAAATACAATATCTAAGGATACTATAGAAGGTCCATAATTAATTAGATAATTATTAGATCCTGGGGGCAGCTGGACTGAGGGCTGAAATTCCAAGTAATTAAGCGCATTGATAAAAATATAGATAAAAAATATATACGCATACGTATGTCAATATAGACACTGAGATTTCGATATGCCAATAATATATACTAGTTGCATGATTATTAAAATTTACTATTAGCCTATATGTACTTACCAATCGAAATTGTTGTTAGCCCGAATATATGTGCACCTCTGTTGATAGACAACAAAAATCCAAAATAAAAATGTTTTTTCTTTTTAATGCAATTTTCAATCTCTTTTGTATTCCTTTATGTGTCATTAAATTCCTAAAATAAATTAAAAAGTTTACATTGCAGAAGCATTAAACAAATAGGAAAAAAAAACAAGCTACAAAACACTGAAAAGAGTTTTATACTTGAGCCAAAGGAAATTCCAAAATTGTTGCTATTTTTATACAATATAATTTATAGATCTTTATACATAAATATAATGGAGACGCTGTCCATTAGCATCGTCGCTTTATTACAGCTGCTGGGCTACTCGTACTTTATCAAACAGCCGGAGGATCAGTGCTCCCCCTCACCGCCCTTTGGCAGCTGGGTCTTTCTGCTGGCGACACTTTGTTTTCTATGGGACTTGAAAATCTATCCATGTCGCTTTATGCACATGGCCAGGTACTGGCAATTGCTTATCGAGATTGTGGGCGGCCTGTTTCTGACCGAGATCGCAACACTGATCGTTTGGTGCGGCGTGGAGCGCGTAATCTTCTGGCTAACACAGCAGCTGGTTCATCTACTTGAACTTGATGATTGTCTGCACGGGCTGCAGGAGTACTCGCTGCATGGCCTGACCCCTGTTGCGGTGAGTGGAGCTCTACTGTGGTTCATTATCGAAGCCACCGATACCAAGTATTGCCTGGTCAACTCCGTGCGCAAGATTAGGCGCAACTGGCAACAAATGCTGCGCATGCTGAGATGCATCTGCCGCATGAACAACAGCGACAGGCGCCGCACCCTAAGAGCCTGCAAACTGGCCATGTTTCCGCCCAGGCGGGGACGCTGTAAGCAGGAGGAGGAGGATAATGACGAAGACCAAGAGGGGCCAGGACAGGATGATGGAGCAGAAGGTACCGACTGAATTGGTGGCTCTCCCACTAAAGAAATCATGTCCGCAATTCCGTGTTGTGTTCTATCTATTTGGAATTTATATTGCGATTGCATATCTCGACACGACTTTTACGCTACACGCAACGGAAATTTACTTTCCTTCAGACCCATTTGTTGCCCCGAGCCTATCACCATTTTGGCTATATTTGTAACAATAAATTTCGTTGCACGAACAGAACAAGAACAAAAAATGAGAATTTTCGGGTGCTGCCAGTAAAGATCTCTGACTTCAGCACTAGGCCTTTAGATGCCAACCTAATGTGTGTCAGTCGGCGCTAAACGGGTGGGTTGGCAATAGCTGTCCAGTGTGGAGCATATTAATGAGAACCCAAATCCGAGTGGAGGACAATTTAGCATATAAACATTAGACTAAGCTCGTTAACTGCTGAATTTTATTTATAGGGCGGGGCACACGTCCATTTAATAAAATTATCAGCTATGCATCGATTAATTAAATTCGAATTGTATTTCTGTTATGCCAATAATTTAGTGAGCTTATACTCACTAAAATACACCATAAGACTAACAGAACGATCTGTATTAGCTGTGCGTCTGGTGTCGGGTTAACTCATCCAGATTTAAATTTAATTTAGTTGGGACTGTAGACGATTTGCTTTGTCAAATGCAAGATGGGAAAATGGATGGAAATCTGGCTCTTAAATATTCAATGTTGCATTCATATTTTTCTAAAAAATAATACAAAATAATGTATGCAAAATGGGGAAATGGGTAATTTCCAACACTATATTTCAAAGTCTACAATTAGACTGGGAAATTGCGGAGAAAATGGGAACTCAACTAAGCATTCATTTTGTTAAAACTGAATAATTATAATAACAAAATATAATATTAATGAATGTAATATCATTAATTCCCTTTTCAACTTATAGATAAAACGTTTGCTCTAAACCTTCTAAAATTCGTTCCTTTAACTTAAATCTTGTGCAGATCTTGCTAAATTTTTACTATAAATTTATGCTTTAAAAACATTATTATATGAATTAAGCCGGTCAATATACTGAGTATAAAAGAACCATATATATATTTATCTTATGTGAATGTTTTTTTTTTCTTATGTTTTGTTTATCCCAAGCTTGACCAGCTGACGAAAGCTCTTCACATAATTGAATCCAACAGTTGGTAGCCAAATAAAAGCCGTCTGCAGCTGCTGTTGTTTTTATTGTTATTGTGGTGTTTGCGCCTGTAACGTTCAATCATCGTCAATCATCGTTAGAGCGCAAGGCAATAGGAAAAAAATGTGGTCGCTGCACAACACTTGGAAACAATCGCGAAATTAGTGAAAAAAAGAGCATTCACAGATTGTATTGCATTTCTAAGCAGGACAGGCAGAGGCACAGGCTACATCTGTTAACTTTGATTACTCGACTAACTTTCACTGGAAAAACAATACATTTGATTAGCTGGGCACGTAGCTGACGAATAAACGAAAAACAGGCTGTGTGAAGATTTATTGAGTCAAGTATAATTCAACGGCTTATATTTGACCCTGCGGATTCTTATGCCTACTCAGCTTGAGCACGAATTAGGTAATGCGATACTTTTTCTGTGTTTACAGGCGACGGAAATTTTCACTGTCACTCAAGCATTTTCGAAATTTTCCCAAGGAATGCTTGAATTGCTTTAAATCATGTCCTTAAAAAAATACTTAAAATTGGGTTAAATTTGAGCACTCTTCTGAAGTCTATTATTTCTATTCAAACAGGGGACCAATTTTATGAATAAGGGCTTGTTCATGTGAAACATTGCCTGTAACACGGCCACATCCTAATTAAGAGAACTTTAAATTGCTTTGAAATTTTTGAGAAATTGCACATTTTGTGTTTGCTAGCTGATGCTTCCTACATGAGCCCCTAATAAATATTCATTTAAAAAATACCTCTTTCGTATCCAAGGTTATGACGAAGCTGTGTATGAATGTCACTAGAAAATATTCCCTTTATTTGCAGCTGTTACTTTTTCTGTTTTTTTTTTTTTTATACACTGTACCTATTGAAAATGGGTAAAGAAAAGAGTATTTTGTACATAGACGATGAGCTGAAACGATTTAGCCATGGTCGTCTTTCTGTTCTCGGTATGGATCCCGGAAACTACAAAAGCCATTTACCTAAAGTTTCAAATATATTTTCTCATCTCCCATTCTAAAATATCGATAAAAATCGATCTTGATATGTGGGTTTTAGCGTAACTCAAAAACCATAATACAAAATTTGGTATAGTTTTAAGAACTTTATGAATATTTTTCTTTTTGGATACTTTCCCTATTCCCCATCAAAATACAAAAAACGTATATTTTCAATCTTGAGCATTATGATTAGGTATATAGACACATAAAATATATTATATTCATATTGGGGTATACTTTATGACTTGAAGAATTCCAGCCGAGGTGCTAAGAACCATAATATTAAATAAACTGATAAACTGGCGACTTTGTAGTCGAGCACACTCGCCTGCAGCGTTTTTACTTGTTTTTCTTCGCTTATTCATTTTCAATGTCTCGAAAAACAAAAAATTCTCAGGATTCAATTTAAATTTTAAAATTTTGTTTAGGTTCAACGTATTGCCTAGCCAAGCCACCATTTGTCTACAGGGATCTTGCCTATTTTCTTATTCTTGTACCAAGGGCACATACGCATATTTTCCATGAAATATTAAGCAGCCGGTCGAGATTTCGGCGACCGAAAACCAGAAACATATGCGAATAGGGCTCAAAGTGAATTATGCCAAATAATTTGTCGGCAGGCAGGTGCTGCTCATTTATCTTGTGCTCGCTTTCGAGTCGCCTCTCTCGGCGCTTCTCAGCCGCCGCTAAGCTTAGCACACTCTTGGGGCCGCCCAGCCACAGGCACACACACACACATGCCCACGTACTTTCACATAGATAAGCTTCTCACTTTTCGTTTCAGCTTTTTTTCTACCTGCCTGGCGGTTTTATGCCTAATGGATTTGCGCTTTGATGTGCAAACGGTTTATACCGTATTAAGCATAAGAGTACGTGCGTGTATATGTGTGTGTGTGTCGGTGGGCGGGTGTTGTGTTTGTATGCGTGTGTATTCAAGTGTCTACATTAGAGCTCATCACTTGCAGTCCTCGGCCTTTTTTTCGCCCCCTAAAAATGTGGCGTACATAAATTTGTTTCGGAATGGCCATATGAGGGCAATGTGGCTATAATTTCTAGCCCTTGCTGATTCGTCGTTAATGGCTAAATGGCGGCTGGTGTGTTTGCTTTTAAAATTAACAAGAAATAACGGCTATCGGAAATGCGGAAGATAAGATACCCTTTTAAATACACAAAAATAAATTGCGTGCATGTAGTGAACAGTCGGAATTTAGTTCTCATTTCATCTCAGTTCTCATTTCTCACCCTTCTTAATCACAAAACCTTTTCAAGACATTTAACATAATTAGGTTATTCCCAATAAATTAACTTTGATTTTTACCAAATATATGTCATAAATAAAGGCATAATTCTAAATCCAACTCTTAAAGAAAGTTTAACTTAATGCATTTTAACTTAAGTTCTATGAATATTAAAATGTAACTCTTAAATAAACTTTACTTAACTGAAAATTAACTTAACTAAGCTGACAGAGACGAGAAATTCGTCTCTGACATTAAATCGCCTTTACCTTGAGGTGCAAATTTAAGTTTACCATTATCCTTACCATTACTCTTCACATCACCTTTGCCGTTAACTTCAGCATTAGCTTAACCATAACTTTACCTTTATCTTACGTTTTAATTTTTAACCCATTTTTAAATTTTTCCCGACCACAATTTCTAAAAAAGGACCGCAAATATATGCACTACTCACAAAATGAAAATGCCCTTTTTAAGAGAATAGAAAACAAGGCTTGTTGTTGTTGACAAGACATCCCTTTGCGTGCTGTAAGAAAAAAATTGAATTACCTTGTTCCATAGCAAAATTACCACGTGTATGGGTGTACGTGTTTTGGTATCTTGCTGATGAAATTTTGCCGTCCTTTGTTTTGTGTATACTCAAAGAAATTTTATTTTTATTTTTAAAATTGGAAATTTTTTGTTGTCGCACACACACCACAATTTGTTAATTTGTTTAAATATAAATTGTGTTAATGTTAACATTTAAAAATTTGCTCAAATTGTTGGGCTTTTTGTAAACAATGTTTATATATATATGTATGTATATTGTAATTTTATTTTATTACAATTTGGTAATGGCGTTTTTATTTATGGAAGTACAGTTTTTTGAGTTCTTATCTTCGTGCGTTCAATTAATGCAAATTGTATTTTTTCTTCGTTATTTTAATAGGTTTTTTTTCAAATACCATATTTTATATTTCCATACAGTTTGTAATCCAAAAAGTGGTTATCATTTATATATTTATTCACCTGGTTTCGATTAATCTTCATGCTGATGGGGAGGGCAGGTGATTTGTTATGTTTTTAATTACAGAATTTGTTCAACTGTATTCACGCTGGCCATTTGGGCATAGTTTGTCCCTTTTAAATTTAATCAAATTAAATTTCTGCTATGCAATAACGCAATTAAATTACTTTTTATCATAAGACTGATTATAATTTACATTAACAAAGTGTACACAACTGTTTCAATTGGAGAGCCATAGCCAAACTGTAATATTTTCTATATTTGGTATTACTTTGTTTCAGTAATATATGAACTTTGGAGTTTGTTGAATTACTTAAATTATCAAAGAGTAATGGGCTATATAGAACAAAGTATCACTGCTGCTGTTGAAAAGGCTTAAATAAATTTGATACTTCAGTTTACAATGTTTATACCACTCATTAATTACGAAAACAATTAATATTTTGTTATATAAATTTCTTATGTTTAAAAATTGATTTTATTGAATTTGAAATAGGTAATAATTAAAATGTTTCTTCATTTTTAACGAGATTTTTGAGCCTAATCAATTGTTTACTTAGCTACTTACTATATTTCCTAAGACGCATCATTCGATTTTTGTTCTGCACCTCCATACTTTCTTTTATACTCTATTTCTTAGTTTTGTTCTCTCACAAATTTAGTTTTCGTGTTACATTTTTGCCGTGTTGTCTCTATTTATTTTATTACACATCAAAAAACTATAAGTATTGGACCAAAAATTACGTTTGAACCTCAGATAAGTTTTAATGGACATGCGCTATTTAAATTTATCTTGATACCCTGCCCTAAAAATTAAAACAATATTTACAAAAAGTATTCTCTATTTTTTTCTTTTTGACACATTCGATATCCTATTTATATAAACCACATTAATTGAGTAAAATGTTAAATAGTCAAAACTTAAGTCAAATCTGCCGGTTATCAGTCAACCAACTATATATGTATATATCTGTCGGCAGCCACGCCTGGGAAAAAGCAAGGAATGGGAAAATATCCTTTTTGGAGAAGAATAAAATTTAGTTTGGCGCCATTTACTTTTAGCTATGGTCGCCATTGTGTCGACATGGTATTGTACCCTGTGCCAGTTTTAACAGACAAAGAAGGTATATTAAAGAAGGTTGGAGATATTTTAATATATACATATACATATTAATATAACAAAACTAAAATGAAATCTGATTTCATTTAAACTACGTTTTGCTGAAGAGAGCTATAAATGATTGCATTGTGGTCTTTTTTGCGGCCCCTCATCAATTAATCATCGCGCGAAAAAAAAAATATATATATTTCTAATGTAAATATCTATCTATTATTTAGCTGCCATCAGCGGCTGCTGAGTTGTCATAGTTACCCATTCGTGAAACTAAACAAATGATAACGATAACGATAACGATAACTAAACGATAACGATAATGATAATGATAAAGAATTTGATAATGATAATGATAATGATAATGATAATGATAATGATAATGATAATGATAATGATAATGATAATGATAATGATAATGATAATGATAATGATAATGATAATGATAATGATAATGATATTGATAATGATAATGATAATGATAATGATAATGATAATGATAATGATAATGATAATGATAATGATAATGATAATGATAATGATAATGATAATGATAATGATAATGATAATGATAATGATAATGATAATGATAATGATAATGATAATGATAATGATAATGATAATGATAATGATAATGATAATGATAATGATAATGATAATGATAATGATAAAGATAATGATAATGATTATCATAATGATAATGATAATGATAATGATAATGATAATGATAATGATAATGATAATGATAATGATAATGATAATGATAATGATAATGATAATGATAATGATAATGATAATGATAATGATAATGATAATGATAATGATAATGATAATGATAATGATAATGATAATGATAATGATAATGATAATGATAATGATAATGATAATGATAATGATAATTATAATGATAATGATAGTAATAGTATTTATATTAAAATTATTAAAGCTATCTAATTATTTCAAAATGATTTAAGCAACTCAAGTTCTTAATAAAACTTAACATAAACACTTTTTTGTATATTTCCATGAGACGTACTGATTTTCATTCCTTGTACAGTGTATTTGTTAGTTGACTCAGTCTGTTCTAGTAAACTCTTATTAGTTATTTGTAAGTTCATTGAAATGGTGGACGTCAATGCGTCAGATAAACATTCCGATTGACACTCTTTATTTGAACTTTCAGTGAGCGTCGCACAAAAAATCAGACAGGAGAGCGCAAAAGATGGAAGAGAAATAGGTGAAGTTTACTCGAGTGTTAAAATTTATAGATCCATGTTTACAGCTACCCAAGATTTATACAATGAACACCTTGGCGTGTCAGACACAGTCACTGGAGACCGAATTCGAGAAATAAGCGGAAGCAGGCAGGGAGCGGGCATTACAACTATCCCCACCCTAGACAAGTAAGTGGACACGTTTATATGGATGATATGTTTGCCTTTGTGCACTGTCCGGCTGTGTGTTTGTCTTGGCATGAAAATAGCCAGTCCCTTGCCGGATGCTAAGATACATATATCTCTGTCAATGACAGTTGTCAACATGACAGTTATAAGGACAACACAAATGTTACGGATGCTCGCCGCCATACTCAAGACATGTTTGGCTACCGCCTGAGTCTGGGGCGTTACTAAAACGTATATTTATAAAACTTAATTTCCACCAGATGATGTAAAATAAAACAAACAAGCATTTTACATTTTGAATACTCTCGGACGGTGGGTAGTTTTTACATTTAAGATATGAGGAATATTTAAGACAAGAAAGAGGAAATGAATTTTCCACAAATTAATTCAATGGAAGTTACATGATATAATACTAATTTGTGATTGATTAATTCTTATAACCTTGTCCTATATTTTTTCAAGCCGCGAGAGCCAAATTTTTATATGGAGTATGCATAAATTTCATTAGGGTATCCTTCAAACAGACAGACAGGTGTTTTTTGAAAACGTTTCTTAATATTGATCAAGTATGAACTCGATTTTATCAAAATTGCAAAATAAATTTTTAAATCAAATATATACTTTTGAGAATTTTAGAGAAGCAAAAAATGAACAAATACTAAAAATGCGAAAACATATATTAAAATTATCAGTACTATAAATATGAAAGATGACAATATTAATGTTGGCCACGGTATTTAAAACTGTTTGTACCAAATGCCTTTAAGAGCTGAGGGACTATTACTTTGCAATCATAAAGAGACGGTATATAAGTAAGCGACAAAACGTGGAATATTGCTGAAAAGCACCCACTGGGCATGGCCGGCACATACACACACATATATGAATGTCAACATTTGTACGTACCTATCATGGAAATTCCCATTTAATGGCCGAAAATCAATGGGTGGGACCAATGTAAATGCCACCCAAACTGTCACCGCTATCCTCGGCAGTGGCGCTTTCCTGCTCGACTTCCTGATTCGCACAGGAGCCATTGTTATTGCTGGCCTCGTACGTATCACTGTCATCCACCAGGCAGCAATCAGCGCAGTCATCCGTTGAGGAGTTTACCTCATCGCTCAGATCATCGAGAAGCGTAACTTTGGGCGCCTTCAGCTCCTCTGTACAAGCAGCACCAGCGGCACCAGCTACTGAGATTTGGATGTTGCAGTTGGCCGACTCCAGACCGCTTGACCTTGATGAACCCAGGTGCTGATAGTGGTGTGGTATGGGCTGCTGGATGGGCGCATGCGTGTGCGTATGTGTTGCCCGGTAGCTGAGATTCGGTGTGCGCTGTCCCATGCTGGCCATGCCCGGCGGCATTTGTGTGTGCGTCATGCTGATGGTGGGCGGCACGCTTAGTACGGTGCCTGCTTTGGGCCCATGGGCGTGGCTGGCGTACAGCTGATGCGTATCCGAGGCCAAGTTGTGAGCGGTCAGCTGCAGAGGATGCTGTTCTTTGCGTTCTGTAAATGTAAAAGCAGTCGAACGAAACATTGTCCTTAATATATGTTGCCACTTTAATTTGCGAGCAGGCAATGGCGAAGACACCGACGGAAACGGAAGTGGAAGCGCAAGTCAGCGCATTGGGTTATCGCCCGGCCCAGTGTGCAGGCAGCTGTGTGCCCACTGTGCTAATATTGACCCAAACTGTTATCAGTGGAAACTTTTGCACAGGACACACGAACCGAACCGGCACAGCTGGCCACAATGCAGATGCAGTTGCGGGCAGAATCCGCCCCCGCCACCGCAGCCCCTTCAGCTTTTGTGCGGTGCTCTGAAATTTCAACAATGGCACTGAAAGTATTTGGGCGCGTATATGGCTACAAGTGGGTTCAACTACGTTGCCTCCCTGCCCGCCTGCTTACGCAATTATCTATCAGAAAGTTATGCGGCCTTACAAAATTATCAACTCACCCAGAGGCGCGACAAGTTTCGGCTGTAGAGGCAGCATAAAATCGTGTCCAGTGGTTGCCGCTCTCGGCTGCAGACTCTGCACTGCCGGCACGCTTAAGTAGTCCGCTAAAAGGCAACCAGTATAATGTTTAAGTTGTAACGCCAGAAGTAAACAATATAACGCCGGACAAAAAGTTAAAGCAAAAGTTTACAAAAAAAAAAAGAAATTGCAAACAATCACAAGTCCTTCGTGGCCGTGCGAAAACTTTAAAAAGGCACGCAGGAAATTCTGTACTTTTTTTTCCTATGTACCTTACAATATGTTGTTAAAAGTTTCATAAAAAAATCTAAAAGTTATAAAATCAAATTTTTGTTCATGTTTGTATATACATATACATTATAATTTTTATCAAAAGGTAAAAGTTTTTGCTGGGAAAGTGAAAATGTGCATAATATTTTTCGATAAGTGCGCAATCAAAACTCAAATTCTACTTCAATGTTTTTTAAGGACATGCAAAAAAAATCCAAAAAAAAAAATAATGCAATGATTAACATCATTTATATTCATTATTTGGAAAGCAACATTTAGTTTTACTGAGCAAAAATATCAGCAATTATTTATAAATAATCTACACATAGTTATGTTATTTGGTTTTTAATACTTTTTGTTGCAATATTTTAGACCGTTTAATTTATTTTCCAAACGTCGTTTCGTAAGAGCTTTGATTCCTTGCTGCTATTTAATATATTACTCAAATATTAGCCCATTATATTTCCTATTATAAAAATTTATATTTCTCTGCAATTTTCCCATTTCAGGCGGCTTTTCGCTGGCCATTAAAAATGCAAGCGTTGGAAAACATGCGCCCAGAAAAGCGCAAACTCGCCAGCAAGTAGTGTGAAAATATTTTACTTGGCAGTTTTTCCAGCAAAAGCAACAATTTAAAATACTCGCAACAAGAAAGTACAAAAATTGTTGCTGTGCCGCCCATTGAATACTCTTACCCATGCAGGCTATAATAGCAATCTGTTCTTAACTAAATAATATCTAAGTGTAATGAAATCGTAAGAAAAAAAATTTACATGTCTTTTCTTGCTACTTGTTCAAGCGTTCCTTTAATAGCTTTAAAAAATGTAGTCAGCTTTATTTTGATCATGAATTTATTTACTTAATGGAGCTTGGCAAATTTGGTGATATTAATAAGATACCCGATGTAAGGGTGTACAAATTAATTTTCGACGCAGCTGCCAGGCACCATGCACCAAGTGGAGCAACCAACACGCCCACCAAATGGGCGTACAAATAAATAGAGGCTTCAGCAAGAAAAAATGGCGCCGCATTCCCCCCAACCCCCCGATCTTTCTTCAACAGAATGCCTTTAGGTGTTTTTTAATGTTGCAATGTCCAGAGCTGATTCTGACGCAATTGCATTTAAATGCTTGTGCGTTGCTTGCATGCAAATATGCACCACTGTGCGCACCACTGTGCGCACCACTGTGCCCATAAATATGCTGACGCCCCGTGTCGCCACAGTTGTAGTGCGTTGCCCATTTTAATGACCACTAGAAGTCGACAGAAACCTTGCCACAGTTTCACGCCCACCAACTATGCCTGCTAATGATTTACTTGCTATTTTTATGCTCTTTGAAGTTCTTGCACAAGAAAGGGGGTCGAGGAGAGCTGTGGAGCCGTCACCTAAGTGAAAGCGCAAGAACTGTGCTTAAAACTTGTGCCAAATACTCCTGGCTGCAGCACGTACTACGGCATTTTCCGGTCACAGGGAAATCAAATTTTTTACAGCCCTCGCACACAGCGCAACACATTTTAGAAATCTGCAGGAAGTGCCATAAGGAAAAGGAAGTGGGTGCGGCTATTACGTTTGAAGTTGTTAAAATTATTAAATTACAGTTTAGTTAAAGCTTAAATTGGGAAATATTTGAATAAGTCAAGATTGCCACAAGTGGGAAGGTTAGCTAGAAGTGTCATATAATAATTTTAAATCCAATAATTGGAATAAAATTAATAATAATAATAATACTAATAATAATAATAATAATGACAATAATAATAATAATAATAATAATAATGACAATAATAATGATAATAATAAAGATAATGATAATAATAATAATAATAATAATAATAATAATAATAATAATAATAATAATAATAATAATAATAATATTAATAATAATAATAATAATAATAATAATAATAATAAAAGTAATAATAATAATAATAATAATACTAATAATAATAGTGATACCAATCAAAATACTAGTAATAATAAAAATAATAATGATAAGACTAATAATAAAAATATTGACAATTACAAATATATAATAACAATAATTATAAAAATAAAAATGATAATAACAATACGACCTTTTCATTTTTAATAATTATAAATTTCATATTTGAACATGTTAATGTGCTGTGTAGCATTACTTTGAAACTTTGACAACATTCAAAAACTATTTAATACTTGTCGAATTGTAAATTTTATATGTGGATTTTATATAGAAATACAAGAAGTAACAAAGGTAACATTAATTGTTCTGAAGACGCCAAATAATTAAGTTTTTATTAAAGCAGGAATTATATTAATTTCGGTCGAATCATCATTTGTACTGTCCTTAAAGGATGGAATTGACCAGCCCAGGATATCCAAAAGATGCCTAAACCTTGCCGAACACTTGGTCTAGGGTATATGCCATTCAGATTGCTTAAAACACAAAAAAATCAATAAAATCAAATTAAACTACATTATTCCAAATTATCATTTAGCTACCTGTAGGTGCAAGATTTATGCCACCAAGCTTGAAAATTAATCGCGCAATTTCTTGGGTGTTTGTCATTGTCTCTGTCATAGGTTGAAAACTTCATGAGCTTATTATATATTAATGCGTCGCCCGCATTTCCAAAATAACTACCCAGCTCTTTTAATGCATAGCTCTCATCTTCACTGCCAATAACAAAACTATCGTAACTAGCAAATCGATTCTCATTGTTGAAATCTGTTAGAATAATGAGTAGTTCATGCCTCTGTTGGGTTGTTATTTGGTGAATCATGTTGAGGCCAATAAAGAACTCGCTATTGGCATCTCCAAAGCCCTCTTTGTACTCTGTCCAGCTGCGATTAAAATTTACTGTTCCATCCAAACGCCTCTGTATAACCATAAATGGAGAACCGTGTCCAATGTTTTCAACCTTACAATGCACCAATATGGGTTCTATGCTTCCCACTTTTATGAGTTGAATATTTTCCAATATGCCAGCATAAAGTGAACACTGGCTGGGCAGATGCTCATGTTCCTCTCTGTACTTGTTTAGAACATATTCCTGTCTTTCAAGTCGTGATTCTTGCTCGTTCACTTTGAACTCTAATTCCGCTATGCGTGTCACCTGATTATGTGTATCTGCAAGCTCAGTTCTGAAATCTACCAAATCGTTGAAGTCAACACTGGCTAATTGAGTTTCTATTTCATTTTCCAGCTCTAATAATTTTTTTTCGTTCTCCTGAATACTTTGTTCATATTCGTCGATCAATCTGTACAGCTGCCAAGCATCCAATTCAGAGTCGGATGAGTGTAAAGTATTTACGTCTAAAGATTGCTCCGAACAACGCGTACTAAGTAGTTGCAGGGTTATCAGCAATATAACAAACTGCATAAAATACATATTCATTTTTCAACACATTTGCTTCAAGCACTTCACTTTCTGATAGACAAATAATTTAAATGAAAACACGACATTCGCAAGCGGCTTTTAAAGCACCCGAAATACTCGAAGTTTTTTATGCCCTAAGTCTCTATGGGGGTCTCTATGCTATGTCATAAGATTTAGCATCCACTGATATTATCAATATTGTCAGACTAACCAGATGCCATCTGAACATTTTGGTTTGGCTGATTTGGATAACTTTACAGAAACTATAAGCCTCAACGGCTTTAAATTGATATTTTCATAGCAATCTTTTAAATGACTTTTTAAAAAAGAATACATTCAAGTATTCCCTATTTTAAATGTTGTCCTATAATACTAAACAAAATACGTATTTTCATTTAATAACTAATGCTATAATAACTTAATGCCTATTTTTATAAAATTTAAACTTTTATTAAAATTAATATTTAGTTTAATAAGGTTTTTAGGGTAAAAGTTCTGCGACATGTATTCAAATAAAATGTATTTCCCATTTAAGGTTAAAAAGGGTATATTGGTTTTTTGCAAATGTTTGTAACAGGCCGAACCGAAACTTGAAGGGTTTAAGGTTTTATTTTAAATTATTTCGTGCGAGTGGGTACATAACGTACTAGTATATATTATACACCTGGGTGCCATGTTTAACCCCTGAAACATTAATCAAGCACACCTGCATTCATGTGTGTATGTATGTTATAGAAGGAATGTAGAATGCTTCTAATGTCAACTTGACGAGGGGTACAGGGTATTCTTAGTCGGGCACTCCCAAAAAGAGCTCTCTTGTTTGCATACGCAATAACTCATACGACTGATAAGATTTTCTATATATATTTTTATGGAAAGAGCATCGTATACCGAGATAAAGCACATTTAAACAATAATGGCGTCATTGACCACCATATGAAATGAAGATAATATATTGTTTATATAGAAAGTATTTTCCGGTATTGTGCACAGTTAGTGAACAATTTGATTAACTCGGTGGAAATATAAGTTCGTCAAGTTAATCAGTGACAGCAAGAAATTCCTCAGGCGCCAGGAGCTGAGGAACTCGGAAAAGCACTTTACGGTTGACTTGCGTTGCAGTCCTTAAGTCCTTTAATTAAAATGCACATCGAGCGAGCTGTGAAGCTTAAATTTGTGGACACGTTTTTACATTGGGTGGACGTAACAAATTTTTTGCTTCCTTTTCAGTTTGGGCAATTTTTCCACAGCTTTGCTGGACGAGCAAATGGAAAAAGTTTTTCAATTTGTTTGACGGTAAATGAACTTTTCTATGGTGCCAAGCCTTTGGCTCTGTGCGTGTGTGTGTGTGTGTGTGTGTGGGAGTGTGTGTGTGTGGCAAGATGAAAATGGCCATTCGAAATATGGCATAAAAGAGGCATTTTGCTATCATAATAAAATTGTAATTAAAATTAAATATAAAATTGGGCAAAAGGATGTGTGCACCGAGAAATGCGGAAAATGCTTTCAAAATGCTAACGAAACATAAAAAAGTTTTGTCCTTATTTTTATTGACTCAATGCTCGAGTGACAAAATAATAGCACTCAAATTTATAGCATGCGATAAATTTTAACAAGCCCCCAGCTCGCCCAGCTTCAAGCGCCACACTAATTGTGCGTTGGTGGACCTGTGGCTGACAAGGGGTGCTCCATAAAAGTTTTTACCAAGCCATTAAAAGGAAAATTCGCGTGTCTTTGAAAATATATCAAACATTTCATGCCTGTTGCGAGGATGCATGCGATTGTATGGGTCGGGGTCGGACTGGGTTGGTGGGGACAAAAGGTAAACGAATTCTAGACAAGACATGGACAAGACAACACTTACAACTGATGTACGTGGGGCCAGGAGCAGGGGCAGCTGCACCACCAGCGGCCGACAGCAGCAGCGGCGGCGGCAGCGGCGTCGACGTCGTCGTCGTTGTTGCTGTGCAGCCCGCAGACATGGCGGCCGTGGCGCCGTTCAGCGTCGTCGCCTGTGGCCCATGGCCATGACTCGGAGCTTGGCCGTGACTGTGGGCGTATGTTGCATACGCGTGGGTGTGGCAGTTGGCCGCGCAGGTCGTTGGCGGCGCCCTGTGCAGATGCAGGCCAATGACATTCACACCGTTCACGTTGCCTGACACGCATACATTTGTAGTTACAGTTACGGGTTACAGTTACGAGTTACAGTTACAAGTTACAGTTACAGTGACAGTGACAGTTACAGTTGCATAGCACACACACACACACAATCACAGCATCAAAAGCATTTGGGGGCTTGGGAAGAATTACAAACAAACAATACACGGAAAAACAACATCGAAAAGAATGCAAGGAAATACAAAATATTCAATATGCGAATAAACACAAATGCGCACGCAAATAATAACACAAACACATACACATACACACTCACGGTTTGCTGGTCAGTCTCTGGTTATGTGTAAGGGTGTGTTTGCGTCAATATATACAGCATTGAAATTTATGTGTGTATGTGTGTGTTAAATGGAAAGTGCCCATAAAAAATAATATTTAAACAAAATTAAACCAGAAAAAACAATTCGTTTTCCCTAAAAAAACAAAATTAATAAAAATCAACAATTAATTAAAGTGCCTTATAATACGATATATATTCTTCGCAAATACAAAGCGTAATGCGGAGTAATATTTATCAACTTAATTAATTATTATGCTTCAAATCGATTTTAAATACATCGAAGAGCCCATATTGAAAACAAAATGTAACAACTATAAGAACAAAAGAATTTGATTTGGAAACAGAGAATCTATTGGGTCCACCATGTCTTATCCAAAGATTTTATGCTTTGGAAAAAAAGTTTTAGGCTTAAAAAACAATTTGCAAACATTTCAAAAAATATAAAATTAAAAAAATGTATATAAAGTTTGAGAAAGAATAAAAACAAAATATATTGAGAAAAGTAAAATTTAAGTTATTGTAAAATAATTTAGATATAAATAAATTTGAAATGCTTCTCAAAATTAATGTAAAAACTGATTTCATATTTCAATACGATATTTCTGGAGTGCTCTATCATGAGTAAAAGGATTTGCTTTGCATCTTTTAATTAAGTTAATAAAAAATTAAAAGAATATTAACTATGCATCATTTAATCTAAAAGACTTCTGCAATGTCTTGAAATAAGTAAATGAAGTCAAAAGAGTGTCAGCCCTACTCTCAATGTCCCCTAGGCTACAAGTTTTTTCCAAATCTGCGTGCATACTTTATTACTCGCAAATCGATTTTAACTCAATTGCGAGAGCCTCCCTCTGTGTGGGAAATTAAAAGTAAAAACCGAATTCCCATTGCAATACAACAGTATGTACTGTTTTCTCGGTTTTCGAAAGTAAAAGGGACTTTGCGTCATTTGAATCATTTATTAAAAAATTAAAAGAAAATTATACGAAAAACTGTAGTAGAATATGCAAAATGTTTTCGACGCAACTTTAATTAGAGTCTGGCTCGACGCCAACAAAGCACTTTAGATGAATAGCTCCAGAGCAGCTCACGCTGATGCACATACGCATCTGAGAATGCTTTTAAATAATAGCAGTAGCAGTCGAGAGTTTGCATATTTAGCATAAGATGCCCCCAGGGAGGAGGCAAAGGCCAAGTGGGAGCGATAGCAGCTGAGCTCGGCCGCACTGAAGGGTGCATAAATAATAAAATAATTAAACAATAAATTGAATGAAATTAGTTTGGCCTCCGGAGAGCTTAGCATGCTGTGCGTATGTATATGTGTGTACATATGTGCCATGTATGTGTGTGTGTGTGTGTGTGTGTGAGAGTGTGTGTGTTTGTGGTACAAGAGTGTGAGCTGACCAAGTTTAGTTGAGCCTGTTCTGTTGTCTGGTGTCTGCATGTTTGTGTTGGCTTTTGTGGACTGTTGAGAGAGTTGCCTGTTGGCCGTTGGCTGCTTTAGACAGCTGCACACACAAAAAGCCACAACGGAAAAACAATAACAAATTATAAACAACTTTTAGCAACAACTACAGCGAATGAGTGAATGAGATACACAATAGAATAATAAGCAGCACAATGTGTGTGTGTGTGTAATAGAGCGAGCTAGCGAGTGAGAGAGGGAGAAAATGAGCTCTACTCACCAATTTTGGCGCTGCCAAATGCATCCTTGAACATGGGCGTAGGCGCCTGTATAGTTGTATGGCCGCCTGCCACGCCCGGCACCGTGGGCGTTGTCTGCTTAATGGCATTGGTCCGGCCTCGATGCGGTGCCGGCGGCTCCCGTTTGCGACGTGGCTGCTCCACGGGCAGCACACGGCGGCGTTTCTTGGGCAACTTGGAGCGTGCCTGCAGCGAACATTTTTTAAATTAGTAACCACATCCTCTGCTTCACCACCGTCTGCCCGAATAGTCACCTGGGTGTGCGAATAGAACATGGAGAAGTTGCTAACGATAACAGGTACGGGTAGTGCTATGGTCAGGACACCAGCCAGTGCGCACAGTGCGCCCACAAACATGCCCGGATACGTTTTGGGCGCCACATCGCCATAGCCCACTGTGGTCATGGTAACAATAGCCCACCATAAGCCCAATGGTATGCTCTTGAATTGGTTATCTGGATTGTCCTGCCAAAGAAATTTGTGAAAAATTAAACAAAATTAGAAATAATATTTAGCATCTGTTTTGCGATATGTTCAAATACCCTTGTTAATAGAATATAAAATACATATTCAAAAAATCAGAATTCTCCATAAAAGTAATTTTATATCGTTACATTTGTACATTTACATTTGTAAAATAAGAGTAAAATCAATATAAATATGATGCAACTAATTTTTAAGTCAATTGATTCTGTCGAAATAGAGTTATAATAAAGTTAAAAGATTTCACTTAAGTTTGCAAGTTTTATGTAGAGTATATTTTCAAAAACTAAAAAGGGTTTTTATAAAAAGTCTGAATTTTCGACAGCATGTTCCTATCGCAACTATAAAATGTTATGGTGATTAAACAGGGGTCGTTAGCTGTTATAAACAGGCTCAAAAGGTCAACGATTTTAAGTACGTTATTGAAATGTTAATAAAATCTAGTTGGTGTTTTTAAATATGCTAGAGTATTTTAACAGTCGTTGAGCCAAAAAACATATCCAGCGAACTCTCCCCTTACAAGCTGCATGGGAAGCTTGTCCCCGCAATGGTCCCATAGCACATGTTCAAACATAATTATGTAGTATACATTTGAGGGCATTGGATTCTGTAAAACAACAGTACAATACACCAAGGAAAATGGCCTATAAGAGGCAGAGCACACAAGAGAGAACTGCAATGAAAGTGTGTGAATTTAAAATACAAGGGATACATAACTTCTGTCTAGATAGTGTCAAACATTTTTGAGTGAAAAAATAAATACTTTAAAATTTATAGCGAAAGTTTAAATTGTACCCAAATCGAACTTTATCTAGGCTATGCAGAATTTATTGAAATTTTGCTAGCTGCAGAACTTACCTGCAACTTTTCCGCATAATAGGCCAAACTGGCAAAGAAGACGATGCCGAGCACGAGGAAGAACACGAGCAGAGTCAATTCCTTGGCCGATGCCTTAAACGTGTGTATAAGGATGCGTAGTCCTGGCGAGTGACGTGTCAGCTTAAAGAGTCGCATTATGCGCACTATGGAAAATGCCTCCAGCAGGCCCGTATACTCGCCCATGCGCTGCATGACATCCGTATAGAAGCTCAACGTGGCCGTAAAGTCAATAATGTTTACGGGAGATTTGATGAACTGCCACAGATTGGGTGAAACCTGGCGAGAGTTGGGAATATATAAATATGCAGAAATTTATATATATATATATATATATATAAGGTCGAGGTGTACACACAATTAGCCTGATGACAACCTCGATGAAGAACCACACATTGCATACGAGCTCGACATAGAAGAAGGCCTTGTGCGGCTGGCCGTAGGTCTCGATCCAGCCGTGCTGTCTGCGTCCATTCTGACCCAGTAGCTTCTCCTCGAGAAACTCGTTCAGGCTGCTCGTGTTTAGGTCGCGTTTCAGACGCTGCCGTTGATGTTGGCCTTTTATGGTGGCAATGGGCGTGGCCTGTGCAGCGCTCAAGTTGCCGCTGCTGTAGCTCGTGTAGTTCGTGACACGAAATGTGGGACCAATACTGCCGCTAGGTGGCGTTATGCTATGCTGATGGTATTGATACTGCTGCTGCTGCTGCGGATGCTGATGCGGCTGCGACTGCTGCACCGGCTGCTGAGGTATGGGCGGCGCCGCCAGCGGATCATGGCCAGACGCAGGCAAGCCGGCGCTGTAGCTGGTGGGCAGGTCCACGCGAAAACCGGGATGGGTTTTCAGGCAGAATGATATCACAGAAACAAATATAAAGAATACCGACATGCCAGCAACAAACTGCAAATATGATATGGTTATTATAGTTATCTGTTATATAGTCATTCTGCTAAAGCTTCACCTTGGCGCCCGTTGAGCTCGACGGCTCATCGAACATGGCCCAAATTTTGGGCTTTAGACGTTGCCAACAGTTAAGCTCGCCGTTGCTTAAAGCCTCCTCGAAGCCAAACAGACGTGCTATTTGCTCCTCCGTGGGTTTCTCATTTTCAATATCTAGTTTATCTAATATAGCTAAGGTGTTCTGCAATATAATAGGCAGCTCTTGATTGTTTAAAGATCTATTCCTTGGCATTTGGCTCGGCTACTCACTTGCGTATCGCGATGTATGCTATAAGTTGACCAGCAGCATGGTTCTACCTGATTCGAATCGAGTCCCCAGAACTCTAGCTCCTCCTCAAACAGAGGGCCACAGACGTCTGTCGGATAATGCAGCTTACCAGTTCTGAAAATAAATAAATATTAATGTGTTTTGAATATATATATATTAATATTTATTTTCTTGTTATAATTTTTGTTAATGCAATATGTTATTATATTTATAATTATTTTGAAAAACCTTAAACTAACTAAACTTTATAATGTAAAAAAATATCTAGAACTTTTCAAATTCATATATTTTATACCACACAACAGAAGTCATTAAAAGATCGCTGGAAAAAAACGTAACTGGGGCAATATAATATAAATAAATAATTTAATATTTAATATTTGTTCTACGATTTAAATCGCCGTAAATGTCAAATTAGGGAATTGAAACAATTTAAATCAAATTATTTATTTCAAAAATTTAACTAATTTAATAATTTAATATTATACTGTTAATATTCAAGAATATTATTCTAAATAGAAATATATATTATATTTTTAAACTAATTCAAATTCAAAATATTCAATTAAAAATCTTGAGAGAATGGCGAAACTAATGAAACTTTTTCATGATTGAAGCAAAGAGAATGCACTTGAGTCACAATGGCATATTCAATGCATATGCATGTCGGGTAAATTCATGGCTGACAACCTCATGTGTGTCCTCCGCCCCATGGTCTTGCCGAAACCCCCATTGTTTCATTATGACCTCTGCAGGTGCAAAAAAAAAAAACAACTAAGAAAAAAATAACTCTTTTTGTTTTCCGTGTGCAAATTGCTGCAAATGGTTGCACGTGCGTGCGGCATGATGAATAATGGCGGGGCTGGCGGGCAACCAAGGACAGGCGCTTGTCCGCAGCGACTGGCCAACTTGTAATACCATATCAGCTACTGGACAGCCGTTGTCGGCCATGGACCGAGTGCAGCGACTATTCGAAATAAAAGTAAACGTAGCTCTTGCCTCGCCTCGCCTTGTTTTATTTTATATTTTTTCCCATGCTCTGGCTGACGGCCATATGCGGCATGTGTCCGCCACATGTGCATCCAGACTGTCCTTTTTGTGCATATTTTATGCAACTTTTCTTTGCAACCTTTTGTTGCGATGCTTTTTGCCAGCTCCAAATCATTTCGTGCCCCGAATGTTGAACGGTGAATGCCGAACAAAACAAAAAAAAAAGAGGAGAAGAAAAAAATTAAGCTAAAACCCGAGCTACGGCCCAAGCGAGTGCTCAAGGCCATTATGAATGCGGGTGGACATGCGGACATTGCGGGTTTTATTATGCGCATCGCATCATCCTTCAGGCACGCCCATTTTACGTATGCCCATATACGCCCCACTCCGGCAAACTATTTGATCTGTCCGACTGCAGTGCACCTTTTTAATTAAATGGATAGCGCAATTGAAAGAGCTTTTCGTACTTTATAAAGCATTAATATTTAGCTTCTCTACATATTATATTGAAATATTATAATATAACTTTGTAGATCTCCTATTATGGAAAGAGATAGAAAGAGGCATCTTCCACAATAGCAAGTAAAAAATATAAAGAATTTATCAGAAGGACATGTTGAGTTGACATAATAAAACTTAGCAAAGTCTGTGCGCAGAATATGTGAACATTTATAGGAGTTAGACTTTACATTTTGTGTTTCATGCTGTTTGAATAATTTTTAAAGATGGTATTTTATAAAAAAAAACTATTTGCATGAGAAGCGCATAGAAAGACAGCAAATTCTGATTTGCACAAATAAATAAAACTTAAATGTAAAATATAGCTAGAGGTCAAATCGTGATTTAATGGCTATGCAAGTATGTAAAGTATGTTGTATACACACATCTACAAACTTTGGTTTTATTTGCAATATTCATTTCTAAGCACAATTTTGTTTGTGTCTTAGTTCCCTTTTTGCGCCATAAATATTAAATCCTTTTAAAAGGAAGAAAAAATACGTAAATTGGTTTATAAATTGCAAAAAGCTTCTGGCGTGTACCTAATTCGATTGCTCAACCGTGGTGTATATATATAAATATTTAAATATGCATGTTAGAGAAGGTAACCCTCATTTTAATTTTGTTGCTGTTATTTTTGCACGGAGTGCAACGCTTTGTTGTTGCTTCTTCGATGTTATTTTGCCGAGTTGCAGTTAATTGAGTTGGAAAAACTGTTTGCCAGAACCCCTCTGGCTTGTCACCCCAATAGTCGACATGCCCCTTAGATCTATATATATAAATATATATATATATGTATAGCAATGAACATAGATGGTAATGAGGCTAAGTTACTTTCAACAACTTTATTTGCACTTGCAGCAGGTGGGGTGCAGTGCGAGGGGGCGGCGGGGAAAAACCTGTCATTAATCTTGAGTAAGTTAAGTTATCAAGAAAGCGAGATAGAAAACCTAGCTAACTTTCAATTAATCTTTGCCAACTAATGAGCGCTGGCTTTTTAACAAAAAAGTGCCAAAATTTTGATAAACTTTACCGCCAAAAAGTTGAGATTTATGACTGCTTGTATTTAGCTTGAGGTACATAATTAAAATTGAAGCTTGCTCCTTTTTTTGTGTCTAAGGTAACAATAAGAATAGCCAAAGATTAATTACCCTGGCTAATATACTAATTAAATTGCTCCCAAGGTAGCTATAGCTGTAGAGATGAAATCATCTGTTCTGAGACAGAGCTGAAAAGTTGGAAGTGATAAATGGCAAATTGGAAAGGTTTCATATTTTCCTAGTATATTGAATTGAATAACGAGAGAGAAGGGCTTCGGGCAGCCGAAGATTTAATGCCCTTGCAGACCCAACCTTTTCATAATGCTCATAGTGCTTTGCCCGTATCTAAGAAGCACAGGGAAAATAGTTTGTGCCAAATATGTTTAGATATCTTGAAAAACAAAAAAGTTTTTCAAACAAGAACCTATGGCAGATATATGATATAGTGGTCCGATCCAGCTGGTTTTGACATATCTACTGCGTGCAACAGAAAGAGGAACTTCTTCAAAGTTTCATAAAGATAGCTTTAAAACTGAGAGACTAATTCGCATAGAAACAGACAGACGGGCAGACGGACTTGGCTTTATCGACTCGGCTGTTGATACTGATCAAAAATATATATATACTTTTTGGGGTCGGAGATGTCTCCTTCTATGCGTTAAACATTTCACGATAAAATTATAATACCTTCTGCAAGGGTATAAAAATAGTCAGTATTATATGGGAAAATGGAAGGGCAATGTTTGGGAAAAAATTTTAAGCGATTAGAATTTGCATATATTTATATATATAAATAGTCAACAGCTGATAACAGAGCAGCGAAGCAAGTAAAGCTTATATATATAAATGGGAAATATATATATATGTATATAATTAATATATATATGATTAAGCGCTATGTATGGGAATATATATATATAAATAGCGCATAACCAGAGGCATGGTGGATTGATGCGCCATCAGCTATCAATTAGTCTTACAGATTTAAAGCTGTGAAACGGTTGGCAATCTCGGATTAAATAAAATGAAAATATACCTTATATATATATTATTGGAAGTGTTTATTATGGCATTGTTAGTGCAATCAAATGAACATTCCACAAGTGGCTGGGTATGTGCCTTATAAATAGTGTAAACAATATATTAAAATTTAATAGTATTCTCTACATTCGTCGAAGGACTCTAAGGAAAACGATTTGCAATGTGAACTTTACTGTTATAAAGTTGTTCAACCGCTTCTAAGCCATGCCATCTCTATGAGAGAAAAGGAGGAAAAATTCTCAGAGTTACAGAAGAAAATAGATGATCAAGATGCAATTATCGCAAACTTAAAGGAGGTGATCAGACAAAAAGAGTTGCAAATGGCACAGCAAATCAACCTGACTGCCGCATCTAATGAAACCATTTTAATTCAGAATGATTTTCTGATTACAATTAAGAAGCAACTCGCCCTAAATGAGGCTCAAATAACTAAAATGGAATCTGAAATAAAATCGAAAGATTCTCAAATTGATAAGAAAGATAAAGAAATAAAGTTATTGCAATCTAAGAACAGCTCACAACTTGAAAACCTAATTAAAGCGAACACTATGCCCTCAAGCTGTCTGGGAAAATTGACAGATATCTATACGATTAAGGTGCCCAACTTAGAGCCCTTCCTCGTGCCCTGTGACTCGAAATTGGCCGACAACGGATGGACTGTCATTCAGCGTCGCGTGGATGGAAGCGTGGATTTCAATCGCGACTGGGACCAATACAAGGTCGGTTTCGGTGATTTACATGGAAGTTTCTTCATAGGACTAGAGAAGTTATACCATATGACAGTATCACAGCCCTACGAACTATATGTATACCTTGAGGATTTTGAGAATAACACACATTACGCCAAATATAGTCACTTTTTAATTGGCAGCGAGAATGAGTCGTACAAGCTAAATAAACTTGGAACTTATTCTGGAAATGCTGGTGATTCCTTAACTTATCATTTAAATGTGAAATTTTCAACACCAGAACGTGCTAATGATGAGAGTCCGAAAGCAGATTGTGCATCCTCTTTCAAATCGGGTTGGTGGTTTAAAAATTGTTATAATTGGTAAGTGTTTGTAGAAATATTATAAATATTAATTTAAACAACCTGCTAATTGTCTTGAATTTGTAGTAACCTAAACGGGCAACATGTTAACAAGTTTGTTGAGGGTCAGGGTCGTGGCATTGAATGGAGGAACTGGCATACTAATCCGCTTAGATATGTGCAAATGATGATAAAGCCACAATCTAATTAAATAAAAATGCGTTCCTTTGTTTACTTCAATATTATTTTTTAAATATATTGGGTATCTGATATAGAATATAATTTCAACTTTTAATCAATATTTTTTATTTTTATTTTTCAGAATATAACATCTCTTCACAATCTCATTTTCAACTAAAAAATAGAAATATCATCCTCATCACACTGATTTTTGTTCCTTAATTTCATTACAATATTCAGTAAGCGTATTATTAAAAACCAAACTATATCTATTATTATATCTATTAGAGACAGGCAAGCTATGCCCCTACTCATAGCTGGGAATGCTCCCGGAGTTCGTGGAAGAAAAGTTTTTTTAGGGGGAGAGAAAGTTCGGTGGAGAAAACGGGATACAATCCATTCTAATTTTTGCACAGTACACGAAAAAAATTGTGCATTAATTTGCTTAGTTTGTTGTGCACGTAGGTAGGAATAGGGGCGATAATTATTATAATGGTAGAAAAGAAGAATCTATGTCGCCAGCAGTCAACCGAGTATGGTTAAGATATTTTGAAAAACTTTAAAGTTTTCCATACAACAACTCAATTTTCGACCGATCGTTTCTGTGGCAGCTATATGATATAGGGGTCCGATCCAGCTAGTATTGACAATTGTACTGCGAGCAACAGAATGAGGGACTTCTGCAAAGTTTCATAAAGATATCTTTTAAACTGAGAGACTAATTCGCATAGAAACATACAGACGGACAGACGGACTTGGCTATATCGACTCGGCTGTTGATACTGATCAAAAATATATATATACTTTATGGGGTCGGAGATGTCCTCTTTCTATGCGTTAAACACTTCCCGACAAAATTATAATACCCTCTGTAAGGGTATATAAAATAAGTTAAAGTACTTGGTGGTTTTATGCTGACATTTTGCATAATCAACTATAAGAACTTTGGCTTAGATATGCAAAGAAACAAGAATCGATCGTATTATATCTGCGCCTTTTTTGTCTGGCATACAAACAGATAGACAATAAAAAGTAGCTTTTTTTAAAACTCAATAAAAATTCGAATATCTTATTAAGGAGTTGAAAGAATTACTGCATTAACATACGCTGAAAGGGTTTATTAGATGCTAAATGTGACATAATAAACAATTAATTAATTTATATTTTCTTGCCTCACCTGTAATAATTGAGTATTTGCGTAAAGACTCCGGGATGACGATCGAAGAAATACTCGTTGAGCACCGGATCATAATTGGCCAGGGCTTCGGTCAGACGTGAGAGGCGCGTTGCGGGTATTTTCTTGAGCGTCGCCTTATAGGTTTCATATCTGCAACGAGTGGCAAGAAGAGGGTCAGATAAATTTAAATGGATTTGCATAGAAATTAACTGCACTACGCATACGCCCTGTTAGCCCATACAAACTGCCATAATAACTTTACAAATTACCATTGCCATAACTCTCTGTCACTGTGTGTGTGTGTTTGTCTGTCTCTTTCTCTGTGTTTGCTTGACCCTTTCGCTTTAGCCAGTCGAGCCACAAAAAATTCTACCAAACACAATTCGGTTCGGTTGGGGTTTTTCTTCTAAAAAGTGAGTGATAAAAAAACCCACAGGACGGGAAAGCACAGGACGAGCTAAGTGTAAGTAAATCCAGCTATAAGCCATTTGCATACATTTCGACATTTCTGCTGACCTTTTTTGATGTTTTCTTTTTCTTATCCTTTTTTATTTTTGCTACATATTATCCACAGATTCTTTCAATGCGCATACATATACCGTTTGCTGCCCTACATTTAAACCTTTCATAACTTTTGAGTTATATTAATTTGCAAAAAACGTATTAAAGATAAATTAGCTGAAACGTTTTTCATTAGATGAAAAAAACTATATATTCTTGTATATCCTTAAATCGAACTTTTACATAAAAAATCAAAAATGGTTTCAATTCTTTATTGCTTTCATATTTGAAGGTATGTTGTGTATACTGCTAAAATCGCACGTAGATACCCTACACATAAATACTCTTCAATCACCCAATCTACACCTGGATAATGCGTGCCACAATGTCGCACAAGTCCGTCAGAAATCGAATTGAATTTCCGACTCTCGCAAGATATAATCAAATTCAATTAACGTAATTTCCAACAATTTATTTTAAATTTAATTTCACATTTATAACCCAGGACATGTGATGCTGGCCGCGTAAATAAACCCGCCCAGCTCGCGTGAAACGCGCTGACATCCTGCGATCTGCGCCCAACCTCCGAAATGCACTTATATTCTTAATGTCAAATTGTTTTTATTGGATAAATTAAATATTTCGCGCCACTGTTAAAGGCAGGCGGCAACAGCAATGGTAATAAGTAGCACCAACAAATGGGACCCGACGCACAACAATTGCCATTAAAGTTTATCGAGGCCGTTTGATTATGGTAATTGACCATGACACAACGGTCGGCTATCGACAAGTGGACAGGCTCCAAAAAAAATAAAAGGAAAACACAAGTTTGCGTACACCACAAAAACTTTCTTTCATTTATTTTGGCATCAAATTAGTTTTTGTGATTGCTTTTGCGAGCCCTGATTTGGGCTACGCTGCGTATGTGTGATAAATGTGTGATGTTAATTAGTTACAGGCCTGGTCACACTTTTCACAGCCTTTTATGCTGTAAGCAATTTACTCTATTAACACATTATTTGGTCATTTCATCTGATCAAAGTATGGAGTAAATTATTTGAATATTTTTTTTTTTCAATACATGTTAAAGTTCGGATGTTTTTGGAGCAACTGATTTTAGTTTACCGTTAGATTCAACGAAGGAAAATAATGGGTATTTCTTCTTAAGTAATATCCATAAAATATTCTATAAACTCTAAACAAATTATTTCAAGTATTTTCCCCAATTTTTAGCTTTAAAGAATCCTAATGTAATTTATTTATGTCCATTTGTTTTGCTATTGTTATCTTGCAACAACTGTAAAGAGCTTCTCTTAGCATTCCCCTTAGTGTCATCTGTCTCACTCACACCGCCATAGCTTTTGACAACGGCCGTTCTCCCTGCTTTCAATTTGCAAACAGCTTTGTTATCCCAGTTGACAAATTATTTGAAGGCGTTGTCGTTGCCGGCCAACGCAAAGAGTAAACAATTCAATTGCACATACAAATGGATGTATGTATGTATATGTATGTACAAACATATATTTATACGTACATCTTCATAGTTATCAACAACGATGTACTTTGAATTTTGTCTAATTTACATGTTTCGTTTATGTTTGCAGCACATGTATGCCATAATTATCACTCAATGTATGCCAGCAAACACTGCTCAAAGTTGTCGAGTGACAATTGAGCATGATTCTGCTGATCAGCCAGCTGTTCTCATATTGCTTTTCAACATTTGCTCTAACGCGCTCACAAGCGTCTGCATGCATGTGTGTTTCGTTTCATTTGATAAGCTAAAGAGAGCCGGTGAATGTGTGTGAGCGGCACGCTGTCTCTTAAAATATTCGGCGTAGTTTGCGCCTTGAGCGCCGCGGCGCCAGTCTTTCAGTTATAAGTCGACCGCCGCACAATTAGCACGCGTCTTCTTCCAGATCTGTGCGAAAGCTGCTGTCTCTTGTGCTTTGTAAATTCCAATAATAAAATATAATACATAATGTTGCGTGTTTTGAGGAAGAGCGCATTGTTGCGTGCAGAATGCAAAAATTTGGCCGCTGCTGCTGCCTACTCGGCAATGCCACAGCCACAGACAACTCCAGAAGTGCTCTACACTGGCGTAAGTATATACACATACACACGCGTATTATATGCATATATTAAGGTACATACATATACATATGTTAGTATTATGTTATCAAAGCTACCAGATAATATATACATATATTAGTACATATATGCATACAAAGGTTCCTACATACATACATTGATGCCAATCTTGATTATATTTTATAAACAACGCTGCAAGTTTTCGCCGTCTCTTTTGCTTGACCTTGACAGCGCAGCTGCCCTTTAGCTTTCAGCATATGTATGCACATGTGCCACTACTTAGAAAAAACACACACGTACAGAAAGTTTGTGAGTAGTGCAAGTAGCAATAACAAAGGAGAAGCACTGAATGCGAAATTGAGTTGATTTTTTATAATTGTGCCTGGAAATAACTGGATACAGGCGCTCAAATGTTCAACAAGATAAATATTTGTATGTATGTACATACATATACATACGTATGCCTGTCATACAACGATAGGAAAATAACCGGACGACAAACGGGAGCACAAGCAGACCGGCGAATAGGTTAAAGCACAGCAACGAAAAAAAGTTTTTGTTATTTACACCCGGCTGTTGTTATTGTCGTTGCTTGCTGACTCTCTCGTTATATCACACCGCGGCTCTCTTTGCAGCAGCGTCAACAGAGCAGCGCCTTCTCTCTTTATCAAACGCTGTTGTTCTGTAGAATTGTACAAATTTGCTCAGCTTTTGTTTCATACAAATTTGTCTGCTACAAATTGTGTTTTAATCCAAATTGTATTTCTTTTATGTAAATATTCTAAGGCAAACATAAATTCTAGAGAAACAAACATGTTTTTCTGTTCTTCTTCCATAAATAAATTCTCACATAAACATATAGTTGAAGAAATGTTTGTACATTATAAAGTTCTGTTGTACATTTATGAACTTCTATTTATAGAGCCCACTGATAAGTCACTTTCTATATGCATTGAGATTCATTATGTTTGTGTGTATATTATTGAATGTATGTACCTGTCAATTAATCTATTCATTACTAACTAAAAGATAGTGAATATATATAGAGCGCATACCTCCTGCACTTTCCGTTATCATTTAATAAGCCCCCTATATATACAAAAAATGAAACTAATAATTGCATGTTTGTTATTCCCTCTACTCGAACTACAGTGTTGTTTGCCGATAGAGATTTTACGTAAAGTAAAATGATGTAATAATAATACCCTGCACAAACCCAGTTTCGACTTTATAGGAGAGTTTTTTCTCTTAAATAATGTACATAGAAACATACTAATCAAACGAGTTTCGACTGGTTCCAAAAAAAGCGTTCGCAAAAATTGAAAGACAAATATGTATATACAAATATAATATACTATATATAAGCCTAATGGCATCAGAGTCTATGAATGCGTTAAATATTTCGTGACTTAAATTATTAAGTCCTCTGCCAGGGCATATAGATAAGAAGCTATTGGTAAAGCAGATATTTTTGGTGGTACCGCTAACTAGCTAATCGGAGGTACCTAGACAGCTCCCTCGCACGTGTCATTCTTCAATTTCAGTAGCTGGGCTTGTCTGGCGGAAAGTTTTCTTGATGTTTTTAATATGCCAACTCATGATGAGTTTGATTGGTAAACAAATGGGGAAGCTCGAGAGCCTGACGTTTAAATATATGTATGTATTTATGTGATTGTGTATGACATATATATACATGTACATATACAAGGCTGGGTCATATATATTGCATAGATATGACCTAAGTCTCCTAATTGGATATTAGCTAAATTACAACATATCGGATAATCAGGTATTTACGGTTATTTACTGTTCAAGCAACAACAAGAGGCTTACATCAAGTGCTTATCAAATTGTGTGTAAAACAGGGAGCGGCTTATCAATGCACAATCTGTAAACAACGAGAGGGACTGCCGAGCAGATACCCTAACAAAAGGTACGCATTGCCTTTAAGTACAGGGGAGTGCGTGAAGCTAACCAAAAGTTAAAGTATGAAAATATAATTAAATTATAGTCTGCTTTGAACCAGGTTAATAAAATTGAATGTTTATAGATTTTTAGGAAATGGGATCAGTAAACTGAATTGTTTAAAAAACTTGTAGAGTGTGCTCAAGTCTCTCAATTTCAATAGACTCGCCTTTTCATGCTAATTGAGAATATATTCATTTAATGGGGATATGTGTTCCCTGCCTTGTTGCAAACAATTGCAACAAATACTTATACCATTTGTTAGATATTTGGAGGGTATAAAACTTAATGACTTCGTGTCACCTAATAATAATTTCCATTATTTCCTGCAGCTGTTCATCAACAATGAGTGGCACAAGAGCAAAACAGGAAAAACCTTTGGCACCATCAACCCAACCACGGAACAGAACATTGCCGAGATTCAAGCCGGCGGCAAGGAGGACATTGACATAGCCGTCAAGGCAGCCCGCCAGGCATTCAAGTGAGTATATTTTATTAAATGCATTAGCTAACTAATCTAATCATTGCATATTCTTACTTTGTATGCTAAAGATTGGGCTCACCCTGGCGTCGCATGGATGCTTCGGATCGTG